TACAATGTGCCGCTTAAAAAGGTTAAAAAGCAAAGCAGATTTACTTCCACGAGGAAAAGAAGTTTCTGAAAGAGAAAAGACGATGATGATGCCTTTCGTGTTGAAGGTAGAGGATACGGCTACATTGCGGAAAAGGTTAGGCGTTCGAAAAGTGCAATTGCGGACTACGTCACTAAAAGACGTAATCATGGTGAAAAGAAGCATCCAGGTCGACCAAAGAAGCTGTCTCCTCGAGATGAATGAAAAATACTTCGAGCCGCTTCCATTTCTACTAAATCATTGATTCAAATAAAGAACGCATGTCAGTTGAATGTTTCGAAAAGTAAGAACACCGCATGTTATTAGAGTAAAAATGATACCGGCACCAAGATTAAAAAACGAAGACAAGAAAGCAAGATTCTCGTTTACTAAAGCCAACATGAACAGAAATTGGGAAAAGGCTTATATTTCTTTTGCGAAATGTATGATGTTCGGTCCCAGGCACCAGGACGCAGCGGTTTTTGTTTCATGGGTGCGATCTCTGAATGGTGGATCTGATTAGCTTTCATTTGCTTGAAGTATTTTGTTCACGGGGCGGGGCGGTGTGTCTACTGTCGCTCGTACGACTCTCGGCGGTTGACTGTTGCGACGCAAGACCAGCAGGACAAGTGTGTAGCCGAGCCGCATGGCAACAGCGGAACCGTGTTACAATATCGCAGTAAGGCCTTCGACAAAGAAATCCCGGGAGGAACCGAAGCGGGACCGCGGTTGCCGAAGCGAAACGGCTCGAGTGTTTCTTCGTCTTGAAGGGACTCGCGTTGAGTCTCCTGTGGCGCCGTGCGCGCCACATGGGCCGCCGCAGACCGATGGTCGCTCGACATCATACGTCTCACTTTACACTTTCTACCACCACACTCAATGTAGACAACTCCATACTATAAAACACGGAAATTTTCACCCTCGGCAGACACTCTTTGAGAACACGCCTAAAGGTACACTTGTAGAAACACGGTTAGATAGACAAACGCGTCCACATACACAATTCAACCATTTGTTTAGTGAATAATACATTAATTGTTAGTTCGAAAACGTGTTGTGATTTACTTCCTCTAAATAAGATTCACTTTGCCGCGAGTCAGCGTTTCCAAGCACCGGCACGAAGGTGTAACCGGGATTTACGACCCCGGGAAATTCAAACGAAGAATTACGGTGTTTTGGGACGCTACATATGATACACTTTATAAATTAAAATTTGTTTTTAGGTTGCTTTTAGCGATGAAAAAAATTTAATTTAGATAGATTTTATCTCTTATTGGTATGACTTACGCAAACAAGAAGTATTTCTCTAAACGCAATTTTGGTGGCGGTTCGGTCATGATTTAGGCATGTTTCTCAGCACGTGGAAGAAGTTCTATAGCTTTTATTTCGAGCAAAATGAACAGTATTCGGTACACAGACACTTTAGAAAATTACTTAATTACTTTTGGACAGATCAGAACGATGAAAATTTCATTTTTATGCAAGACAATGCCCCGGTTCACAAATCAGCCCATACTTTACACTGGTTTTTAGAAAATAATATTCCACTTTCAGAATGGCCTGCACGTTCTCCTGATGTGAATCCTATAGAGAATTTGTGGGGAATATTAGTTTGACGGATTTTTGCAAATAATCATCAGTACACAAATGTACAGGAACTAAAAGTTGCAATTGGTGAAGCTTCGAACAGTATAGAAGAAAATATGATAAAAAATCTCGTTACAAGCATGCAAAATCGTATTTTTCATATAATACGTGGTGGTGGAAATGTAATAAATTACTAAAATTTCTGTTTCTGTACTTCACAATAAAAAGAAAAAAGGATTTTTATTAACGGTTGGTATATTTATGAAACACTAATTAAACAGCATTTTCATCTTTTCAGCTTCTTATTAGAATAAATTAACGGTATTATTCTTAATATTTATTTTTATGACAGTAGCTAGCAATAAGAAGCAATACCATGGCGTAATTTATTTCCTGAACGCCAAATTAATCAAATTTTAAGGGGTTGGTATATTTATGATATGCACTGTAGTAACGTTTTAAAAAAAGAGAAACGAAAAAATCCTTCCGGTGATATTTCACCCAAATACCGTTCCCTTATCAAATTTATTGCAGCCTGTTATAAAAAAAAAACTGTTACGTTATTCTTTCTAACCATAGGTCTTCATTTTGTAATAATTATATTTATATTTGAAGATTTTTTTTATGATTGTTCGACATATACAAATGTTATGGCGTGTAAACCTTTTATTTCGAAAGTTTCGCTACACTGTTTATCCGAGTATTGTGACTACAGTAAAGATTCTATAAGAGTTCATTGGGATCTACACGATAACGGTTCATGGTCTATCCCCACCACAAGGGGGGACCACCCTTGAACCAGGCAAGCGACTAATGTAACATGGCCGCAGCATCTCTTTATCGCATTCGGTGGCGGCATGCTGTGAGACAACACTAACAAAACTACAAAAGTTTGTTATTTTCAATTTTTCGTTAATACAAATTTCATCAAAATATTGGTGAGATTTTCCTGATTAAAATGATACCAAATACGATATTATTACAAAACTTGGTTGTGTCAATTGGGCTTGTGAATCTTCCTTTGCCCGCTGCGTTTTTCTACGTTCATTTCACTGTTTACATCTACAGAATGTAACACCATTTTTGTAAGGATCTCACAGCTGTGCCAAAAAGGAACCGTTATACAGTACTAGAACTGAACCTACCCGGTTATTCTCGAACGGGCCACTCTTATTCAGACTAACGGTTCGTAAGCGGCATTGCCTTTGATCCGTTATGGAATAGGAAGAAACGAATTTTGACCTCTGACGAGTTTAAAGGACACATAAGAATACACATAGGAGTATACTATTATACTAACGTTTACACTACTCAGGACTCTTCACAAGCAGTTTGCGAACAATTATAATTTACTAATATGATAAAAATTTTACTTGTCAGCGTTTTTGATGAGTATGTGAAAAAAATTAAAGAGAAAAAGTGATACTATTTTTTGCAAATAATATAACAACGTATGTGAACTTTTTGTGTTTGTATTATTTTTTGGGAAATGAAGATGACATTCAATTTTTTAAATAGAATTTAAATCCTATTCTATGCGGACTAGTGAATCCGTTAACATTCTGTATAATTATAAATAGGTGCAAGTTGTAGTTTCGTAATTTTTTGTTAGTTTCATTAATTTTAGTAATTCTTTTGAATTTTTTGACCTTTTGTAGTTTTTTAATTTTGTATAACTTTGTAATATCCTGTAATTTATTTAATTTCTTATAATTGCACATATATTTTTGAATTATGTATCATCTTAGAATTTTCCATAATATTTTGTAAATCCTTATATGTATTCTTTTTTAGGTGTCTTACATTTAATAGATATAGTAAAGACATAATAAAGTGTGGATGTATGTAAATATGTATTAATTATTTATAGGGAGGGCGTAATTATGTGTGTGTGTACATATGTATGTGTGGAATTTCTTATTAAGTAACTAAATTTAAACCGAATTATACCGTGTTTGGTCTCATTATAATCAGAAAAAAATCATGGATATGTTAGTAAAATTTTTATCAGCAAAACAAAAAAAAAGTTTTTCTCTTGCATTAGTGTTGTCTCACCGATATGTAGGTGTTTGATATTTTGTGCCGGACCCACGCTGGGAAAATCGGAAAAAGGACGACATCGACGGCGCCCAGCTCGGTGCTGGAAAGAGAAAATGCCGAGCTCCGCGAGACTGTGGAAGAGTTGACCGCCCAGGTTGGGCGGTTAGCGGAGGTGATTGCGGAGCAAGGCCGCAAGTTGGAGGCGCTCAAAGCCGGAGGGTGGCGACGAGGAGAGCCATAGAGCCTTTTCCGATAAGGACAGAGAAGGAGGAGCTTCCCGACATTGCACAAAGTCGGGAGGAAAAGTTGCTGCAGGCGGTGGCCTCCATTGTGGAGGCCAAAATGTCCGCCCTGCGAGACGAACTCCGCCCTGCCAAGGTCACACCTCCCGCCTCTAGCGAGACAGGCCCAGAGGTTAAAAGCAACGGGGCGGTTCAACCGCCACCAGCCACTTCCTCTTCTTCGGAAGCGCCGAAGAAGAAGAAGAAAAACAAGAAGAAAACCGCCGCCACAGAGTCTCCGGCAAAGGAGACTGTTGTAGAAGAGAAGAAGACGCAGATAACACAGGCGAAAACACCCGCCCCCGAGGAGGCGTGGTCAAAGGTTGTGGGCAGAAAGAAGCTGCGTGCGGAAAGGAAAGCCACTGCCGCTCCCCCTGTACAGAAGAGGAAGGAGGCAGCACAGCCAAAGGTGCGCCCACCTAGACCCCCCGGGACAACGGCAATGGTAGTCACCGTACTGCCCGGGGGGAAGAGGAAGGTCGCGGAAGTTATAAGCGACGCCAAGTCGAAGATAAAACTGAGCGACCTGGGGATATCGACGATCGGGCCCCGGAGGGCAATAACCGGGGCCATGATCCTCGAGATACCCGGAGAGGGAGGCGCGGCAAAGGCTGACGCCCTTGCTGCGAAAATGGCAGAAATTGTGGGCGGGGACGATATCAAGATCGCCCGCCCACAAAAGAAGGTCGAGGTCCGGATCTCTGGCTTGGACGATAGCGTCACCACCCCTGAGGTGGTGACAGCTGTCGCCCTTGCCGGGGAGTGCCTCGGGGCAGAGGTGATGGTGGGGGAGATAAGGTTCTACCCCTACAGGATGGGGGCTTGTTGGGCCAGATGCCCACTAGTGGCTGCGCGGAAGGTCGTCACTTCCGGACGGCTCCAGGTGGGCTGGTCTTCCGCTCGGGTGGAGCCCGCGAACACGGTCGCGGGGAATCCTCCCACGCCCATGGAGACGGACGTGGCCGTTGACACCACCCCCAAGGTAATTACGGGCGGGGAGGAGCCCACTGAAAAGGCAGCACCTTCAGAGTGCTGCAAGTAAATCTGAACCTCCAAACTCTGGTCGAATGGGGGATGGACATCGCGGTGGTCGCGGAGCCCTACGGGGTCCCCATCAACAATCCGGGTTGGATCGGGGACCCCGGGGGCTCCGTGGCCATCGCGGCAGGAAGACAGCCGTGGTCCCCGCCCGTCAGAGCATTGGCTGCTGGGCGGGAATTCGTGGCTGTTGAATGGGGTGGATTCGCGGTGGTGGTGGTGTATGTCCCGTCCAGCTGGCCTCTCCCGGAGTACGAGGAGTACCTGGACGGGTTGCGGGACTTAGTCTCCCGCATTGCACCCCGTCCGGTACTGGTTCTGGGGGACTTCAACGTCCACCACGAAATGTGGGCGTCGCGCAAGGCCAACGCGAGGGGCCTGGCGGTGGCAGACTGGGCAGCGGGGCTGGACCTCCAGCTTGTCAACCGAGGTTCGGCCCACACCTGCGTGCGGTTCTGGGGGCGGTCCATAGTCGATCTGACTTGGGCCTCCCCTCTGAGCGCGCGCAGCGTGTCGGGGTGGAGGAGGAGGTGGGGACATTATCGGATCACCGATATATCCGATTCGATGTGTCCACTGCCCTCGTCCCGCACTGTCCGGTGGCCTCACACCACTGCGGAGATGGGCGCACAAGCGCCTTGACGAGGACGCCCTGGTGGCTGCCTCTCTCGTCGTGGCCTGGCCGGAAGTTCCGGCTGGGCCCGAAGCGGACGTGGAGAGGGAGGCGGAGTGGTTCCGGGGTAAGCTACAGTCGATATGTGACTGCGCGATGCCCCGGGCCAAGCCTCCCTGTAGGGGAGCGGCGTACTGGTGGTCGGGCCAGATCGCAGAAATGCGAAGGGATTGCGTTGCTGCCCGGCGCCGGTACACCAGAGCCCGCCGAAGGAGGGTCCACGACGAGGCGGGAGAGGCGTCGCTGTGGGGACTCTACCGCGAAAAGGTGGAGTCCCTTCAGCGCGCCATCAGGAAGGCCAAGACCAAGGCGTGGAAGGAGCTCCTCGGCTCTCTGGACCGGGACCCATGGGGCCACCCATACCATTTGGTTATGGGCAAGATGCGTCCGTGGGCTCCCCCGGTCACGGAGAGCCTAGACC